CGTCAGCGCCGGTCACGACGCCTCCCTCCGTTTCTGGAGCCTCGAGAAGCGCACCTGCACGCAAGAAGTGACAAGTCACCGCGTGATGCGCGGTGAAGGCATCTGTGCCTGCGTGTGGAGTCAAGATGGAAAATGGGTAGTCAGCGCTGGCGGCGACGGCGTGGTCAAGGTGTTTGCACGATAATGGAGATAGATGCTTTACATGTATGTATGTCATGATATGGAGGAACTTCTTTTTTTTTTCAAGGGTACGGGTGGTGCATTGTTGCTTGGCGGACCATGGTATTGTAGCAGTTGGATTGGGGCGCCCAGCAACGAGACGGGAAACCCAGGTGTCATAGTATCTGTACATGTTGAGAAGGGTGATTTCGCTTATTTATACTACTCGTCGATACCCGGCATTTAGTGGTGGCTCATCTTTACTTCTAGTATCTCACGGAGTGTATCCATAGTAAGATATTCATGGTAGTAAAAAGAAAAGACATAGTGAATGATCTGATGTGACGAAGAAGAAAAATGCAAAAATTAAGACCTGCGTATCGCAGATGGCTGGATCTCTCCCGCCGGGAATTGAACCCGGGTCTCAAGCGTGACAAGCTTGCATACTGACCACTATACTACGGAAGACATTTTTTTCCTAAACAGGCTTAGCCTGCTGTAGTGAGAGGGGGTTGTACTGAGGGCAATGTTGATAGAGTATATGAAGTTCTTTGCTAATCAGATAGTAGCTTAGGCCTGTATTTCCGAGTCGTTGAATCTGTATTGTTAGCATTTTGGTCATTCTCAAAGGCCCTTTGGGGCAGGCCAGTACTTGAGTAGTGTCTTACTTGTTCTGGATACTTTGGGTTTCGTGGCCGTCGTATTAAGTATGACTTTCGATCTTGAGGTCTAGGGTATGTTAACTCCGTCGAGCATGATGGCTTATGCCATGAGCTGTAACCATTCACTTGCGAATTTTGGCGACGTAAAAACAAACCCTTGGTCCTAGTTGACTCCTGGTGGGAATCGAGTCTAGTAAATCTCATCTAAAGGAAGGGTTTCCGCAATCAAGCCAGGCGCAAGAAAGATAAGCGGTCGCTGGATGTCTCTACAGGTGCTATGCATCAAGCGTCAGTTACAGTTCTAAAGAACTATGTTTGTCTGCTGTTGGGTTAATACCATCGTCTATGCTACCTGTGAGAGTTCCATTGAGATCAGCCCAAGAGCATCATCATGTCAACTCTATTCTTCTCGTCTGCCACTGAGACTTGATGCAACTTCCCAATCAGGAAAGTATTCAAAACACCGACCAGGTTCCCCAGATCACGGATCACCTGACGTCAAAGCCGATGGACCTCGGCATCTTGATTAAACTTATACAGCAGTTTCCAAATCTGACATTCAAAAATCGAGATATCAGACTCATACTATTTACAAAATGTCGACATACGAAACAGCTCAAGATCAGTTCATCACTGTAGATGGCATCAAGTTCGCCTATAGGCGCTTCGGCGCGAAACAAGGCGTACCCCTCACATTGTGTATGCACTTCAGGTGAGTTCTCTCCAAATTTGAGCTATGGACAAAAACTGACGATGCCAGGGGAACAATGGATCATTGGGACCCAGCTCTTATAAATCCCATCGCGGCCAAACGCCCCATCATCACCATTGACAACGCAGGCGTAGGGCGCTCTGAGGGCGAAGTCCCCAAGCAATACAAGCAATGGGCACAATACTACATCAACGTGCTCCGTGCGCTCGGTGTCAACAAGACTGACGTGATGGGCTTCTCCATGGGCGGCTGCGTCGCTCAGCTCGTCGCCCTCAACGGAAAGGATCTCGTTCGCCGCCTGATCCTCTGTGGAACTATGCCTAGCACGGGCGAAGGTGTTGTACCAGCTCCTTCTCTGAAGGCATTCAATGCTCTCAGTGCTGCCAAGACGGAGGAAGAGCACAAGGAAGCTTTTCTTATGAGCATGTTCAACACTTCTGATAAGAGCAGGGCTGCGGGTGAGGCTGCGTGGAAGAGAATTACTAGTGCACGAAAGGACAGAACTGATCATGTTGATCCTGCCAATGCTCGTCGGCAGGGAATTGCCTTTGCAAAGTTTATGGATCCGAAGCAGGCCAAGGACGCGTCTTACGATCGTTTGGAGGAGCTTCGTATACCTGTTCTCGTCGCAAATGGTAAGTTGGGCTGGTACTCAAGCTACAAAGCACTAACACAAGAGTAGGAAGTGAAGATCTTCTGTTACCAACAGAAAATAGCATCGTGATATGGAAAAAGTTGAAGAATGCCCAAGCGCAACTGCATCTGTACCCTGATTCTGGACATGGCTTCCTGTATCAGTATGCGGATGAGTTTTCCAAGCTGATCAACGTTTTCTTGGGTGATGAGTCTAAGCTATCAAGCCGCCTTTAGACATAAACATACACGTGTGTACGATTGAACACGACGGGATTTAATAGAAGTTCGAACGATGATATGTTTATATGTAAAGATTGTGTATATGCATCAACGCCTATCTAAGTTCACCCATGACCAAGCCCAAACAAAGAACCTAACGCCATTTCCTCTATCCTAGACCAGCTATAATACAATTATCTCAAGTTTATTTCTTGCACTTGCACTTAGGGTCGAACACCACAGGGCAATCACAGCAGACTTCATCCTTGGACCAGGTGATATGGGCACCCCAGTTGTAGACCTGGTTGAGGGTGTTGTACTCAGAGTACGCCTTCTTGACCTTCCCAGTCTCGGGGTTCAAGAACACCATATCGATACCGTTGCCGCGACCACGACGAGTTCCCTTGGGGACCTCGAAGTCGCCCTTCCAGTAGAACGTGAAGGAGTTGCAGCCGTAGGCAATGGGTCCTTTGATGAAGGCGCTGGGGTCATTGGTCTTTTCAGTGTTGCCTTCGATGAGCTCCTTACGGTTCTTGTAGATGGGAGGAAAGTCATCGTTCTGAAGTTTGTTAGCCTGAGAAGTGCAATGGAAAGGTGAGGATGTGTTTACCTTGGCGTACTTGTTTATCTTGGAGGATGATGAAGTCCACCAGATAGACTGAGAGTAAAACTTGACGTCCTCCTCGAAAATAGTCTTGGCCAAAGCTCCACCATCGGTAATACCAGAGAAAGTCGAGACGTATTTGTTGACTATAGACTCAAGTTTGCTCTTCGAGATGCACTTCGTGGTCTGCGTCGTCGCTTTCTTGCCTCCGGTAGTGGTGGTACTAGAACTAGAAGCCTGCTTCTGCCCGACGGGCTGATACTTGTTCGTCTCAGGATGATCATAATTTCCTCCGTAAGCGTTATAACCACCCTTGACGGGAATACCAGCAGCAGGAAGGATAGCGTCAGCCCTGCGGTGGATGTTCTTAGCTGAAGTTGAGATGGCGCAGGCCAGGATAGAGAGCGCGATGTAAGCCTTCATTTTGTATGATGAACCACAGCTTTTCGTGTTTTAAAGAGAGTGGAATTGATCTAAAAGATCAGGAGTTTCAAGTTTGTGGAGTGGTGGTTAAAGAGAGACTGAGACATGGCATCCGCAAACGGGAGGGACTCGTCATCTTATACCCTGTGACTCGACAAGTATATCATTGCGGGAAAAGTCATATCATCTGTGAGGATTGACATGTAAGTTTGAGCTATTGTTGCTCTAGATTTGCGTGCCTTTGATGGTGGCCGTGGCAAAATTCCAGTTGTTCCTGGACTAGACTCGATGCAGCGGAAGTGGAATTGGACTTGAGGGGTTAGTTGAAGATACTGAAGATCATATATTATAGAAAGAAAGCAATATGTATGAATTACTATGAGAGAGTCTGCGTAGCTGCGTTCGTTGACTAAATTGTGTCATGTTGTAGAGTGTCTCACTTCACTTGGAAGCGGTTCATCTGAACCTATTCCCGCATCTTCAGCATCTGAGACACGGACTTGGCATGCACAAAGACTTTCCTGTGGCGCACCCTAACCACAAGCCGTTCAAAATCCTACACCCCAAGAGACTGGTGATCTATGTAAGTGAGCCCTTACAATAGTTGGCCCAGCGACTTCGGAATGTTGTCTCCTCTCGCCGACCCCGACCCCAGCACGTATCCGGAACATGGTACGACGTCTGTGGCCCTTCCATTTCTTCTAGTCTCAGTACCCGCTGTTTTACATACGATTGATTGAATCGTCTGTTGTGTTTCGAGATGTTGATCCTCGCTGGGCTTGCTTCCACGTTCCGATAACTGGGTAGATGGAGGAGCGTTAAGAGAAGTCAGAGAACACGCCGGTGATTTGAAATCATGCCTTCGTTTGGATTGGCCTGTGGGAATTTGCTTCATATGGCGCAAGAGGCGCCTATGACTTGATGGTGATGTCTTACAAGGGCTGCAACTTGGTAGGTAGCCACGGCGTTGGTCAATAGCGCCTCTTGTCAACTTTTCTTAATTACTGTAAGTAACTTTGAAGAAGCTACTCACTACTTGAGTCATGTTTCAGTCATGACTAGTCATGTAGAAGTGAGATTTTATTGTCCTATAGGCAGAAGCATATCAGGAGGTGCGGCTCTGGCTCCCTAGGCCTTAACTGGTAGATGAACAGCTGAGGCTTCTACCATAAGTATTAATTTGGCCTGGTTTTAAATAAAATCCGAAGAAAGTTTTGTTTTGAACCAGATACTCTCTCGGACGTATCTACACTCGAAAACGCAGCCAATGCCAATAGACCGCCAACTTCTCTGTCTTGCAATAAGGCCGGGCATAATGTAAGAATCTGTTAGATAGTGATTAAGACATCAGGGGAAAAGTATAGTAAGTAGTTTTACTTAATCTGATAGTTGCTAGTCTTTTTAAAATAGATTTACAGTTTAAAGGCTGGAATTATTAATTAACTGAGTTATTAACTACATTACTTTTAAAGGAGTTTTTTTTTAATTTAACTTAAGCTTACAGAAGGCCTATAATATATGTAAGGTAGTTAGTAGTAAGTAGGTTAATGCACTTTAATAGGGAAATAAAAGAAACCAGGGCCCTTTAACTGCTTTGTCCCTCCTCAAGACGCTGCTCACGATGACGTTGCTTAAACCAGTTCCCTTTTTCTTCACCATTGCTACTTCTTTGAATCTCCTGAGAACTGTTGTCTGCCTTACCAAACATCTCCAAGACGGGATGCAATATCCGCCCATTGAAGAAGTCAATAGCATCTTCGTCATTGGAAAAGACCCACGCCAGGAGGATCAGTGTAATAGGCACCGAGATGGTCCAGTAAACAAAGAAAAGCGGCTCCCCAGCCGCAAAGTTTCCACCCATAGAGAAGATAGACGCCACAAATGAGCATGGTACAATGATTGTCGCGATTTTCGTTAGCTGTCCGGAACTTCGTGCCATTCTGTTAGCTGCTTCCGCCTGCACCAGGGCCGATCGCTGGGCAAACATTTCGAGGTGATCGCCGAGCGTTGATTCTGCGGCTTCCAACTTCTCTTCCAGGATAGCCCATGACTCATGTTCCCCTTGTGCCATTGAATCGGAGTCCTCCTCTTGTTCTGTTCTGCATTGAAAACTCCACATAATGTTCTGCAAATCTCTTTTCTTTTCTCGAATGCTTTGCCGTATCTCCATCAGCTCTTGATATTTCTCATAGCTCGGAACGTTGCGACTGTTCCGTGAAGTTGACCCTAGTAACGAAGCGTATTTTGACTGTTGTTGCTGATCATCGAACTGAATGTCGTGAACATTTATTGCTTCGCGAATGACAAACTCCTCCCATATAGAGCGTACGGTGTTGCGAGCAAAAATAGTAGCTGAAAATGGATCTTCACTGATCTCAAATTCGTGCTTTTCGTAAGCCTCCACAACTGTGTCGAAAATTCGCTGTTGGTACTGTCGTATCATCTTGTCGAATGAAGATCCCAACCTAAACTCCCGAGTTATATCGCGAAGATACGAAGGGTCCGCGAGGATAACACTCGATGGCGACATCCTCTCTGCATAGTCTAGTCTGCATTCGTGGGGATCAACCAAAATGACAGCTATAATAACAACTGGTCAGCAAGCTGCAGGAACTGGGTGATGCAACTAACTCACACGTCCAAGAGTCATTCCCGTACGGCTTGCCCCAGTAGGAAACGAAGCTGGGCAGATCGATCGATCTTGTATTCTGGGTCAATGTCATCGCTCCGCGATTGAAGTTTCCCAACTTTGCGTAGTATCTACCCTTAAGTAGTGGTTGATTGCATCTGTGTGGTACATCATAACGTCGTGGCACTGGAACTTTCCAATATGCTGAGCTTCCTTGGGGAGCACCTGAGGCATCAGAAACACTCAGACTAACAAACTCTTCACAATGAGCCAAGAAGAACTCAGGGGGTATATCCAGCAAAACCCCCAGTAGCTCTACCAGTCTAGGATGCAAGTCCTCGATAATAATCACGCGCCGGTTCGTCTTCTGCGGTGACTCATGCTTTGGGGCGCTCTCCCAGTACATCAACAAGTCTCTTGGGTTGTCAATCGGTGTTGGCCCATTGGGTAAGTCGCAGTGATCCCCCATGAGTTCGAATATCCTGATGTTGAACTTAATTTCGCAGGCAGTGTCTTGACGCCATGGGTGCCAGTACTGCTCAAGGAGGAATTGTCTCTCCATTGCCTTGATGGCGCTTTCTGCATAAGCTTTCGTTTTTTCCTTCATCTGGTCGTTCGTATCGCCCCAGAAGGCGTCATGGTCTAAACCTGATCAGCATCTATGAACGTCAACTGGAGTGGTAGAAGTTACCTGGAATCCCTGGAACGGACATAGTTTGAGAATTGGCAGCGAATCGAAAGAAATTAACAATGATGCTGAGGTGCTGCAATCTCAGAAGAGGCATCTGGCTTTAAGAGCCTTTAGGAATTCGAGGATTGTTGACAATCATTTGATGTGATGTAGCACAAACATGGCGGGCTGAAAATCACCGCCTGGAAATCATCAGCTGAGACAGATCAATATAGCCACTGCCAATCAGCGCTAAGGTTTGGGTCTGTCGCTTTACTTCGGGACAAGGCTTCTTGTGACAAGTCACAACTCCCTGTTGATTCTAATAGGTAAAAGGAAGGGTTACGACCACCAGAGGAGCAGCTGAAAGTTTTGCCATCACTGCCAAGCTTTGGCCTCCAATAAAATCTTTACAAGTGTTAGATATATGCAGGACGGCTGGTATTGCTTGACAACTCATGAAATACAGGATAAGATACCTGTTAGGTATAATTACTTTGGTAATAGACAAAAAGAAAACGTCTCAACAATAGAAAGGATCGGCCCGGCCCGCTAAGCCTCTTCCTTAAGTAGCTAATATATCTTTAAGGTGGGACCTGATAGGAAGGGGCATGAGGCAGTCGTGCAGCTGCTCCTCGACTGGGGCACCTATATCGAGGTGGCGGATAGGAAGGCCGGACGCCGCTGTCAATGGCCGTCAAGCAAGGGTACGAGGACATCGTGCGGCTGCTGCAAGCCCATCCTGTTTAACCTTCGTCGACTATATTGCGCTGACCCCCATCCTACCCCCTGTTTTTATGCGGTGCATCGGCGGTAGACACAATGAAGGCATGATCACATAATCGACTTCATAATTCAGCTAGATACATCCTCCCAGACGTCCATTCACTCCACTCCACGCGCCTTCATGAAATCCACCATATCGAAGAAACTCTTCTTATACCTCCGCTCCTGTGTCGTCCTATTGACAGTCTGTATTCCAAAATGCTGATCATAATCCCCAAACTCCCAATTATCCGCAAAGCTCCACGCATACGCTCCAACAACCTCGACGCCATCCTCCCAAATCGCCTTGAGCGTCTCCGACAGGAAACTCAGGTAGTAAATGCTCCTTGGCGTATCAAACAATTGGTCAGATAGATCCTTTTCAGCCTCGCCGTAAACGGGGAAACCAAATTCTGTAAGAGCTACGGGGGTCTTCCATGTGTTGTGCAGGTAGTTGAGATAGCTGCGCAGGTAGGTGGGTGTGATATACACGTAGCTTTGGGAGCGGTAGCCGATGTTCCACCCGTTAACGGTTGTGGTGGTTTGGTTGACGCAGTAGGGACGGAAGGTTGAGGAGGAGTTTGAAGCACATTCGAGGACGCTGTCTTTTTCGTCTGGGACGGGTGGTGCGATGACGGTAGCAGTGTATGGATCGATACCCAAGAAATCTGCGGTGCCGCCAATGTACTTGAGGTCATCCTCACTCAGAGGAACATAATCGTCAAAAGTCTTCTTGAATGACTCGGGATAGTCCTCGCCCAGGTAAATCGGGTTACAGAAAGGTCCCAGTTGAATAGAGTTGAAGTGGTCCGCAGCATAGACATCAGCTTCACTCTTGGGATCCCGGGGCACGCCAAAGTTATTATTGAACTTGAGCGCAATCTTGCCCTTTCCGCCAAGCTCCTCCTTATACCAGTGATAAACTCGCGCATGGGCCTTGACCACATTGTTGATGGAAAGTGCATTGTATGAGTAGAGAAGAGGCTCGTTGAACGTGAACCAAACAGGTACACGGTCTGCATAATGCGCCATTGCAACCTTTGCATAGTGAACGAAAGCGTCCTGGAAAGTCTCATTCTGATAACCGCCGTTGACGTAGCCAATTTCAGGTCTATCGGCAGCCTTGGTGAGATTGCTGCCGAAGAACTGAAGAGGCGTATCGAAGTGAAGCAGGGTAACTTCAGGAGTCATGCCCTTCTCGAGGATGAAATTGATCACATCGTTGTAATGGTCGATGCCCTCCTGGTTGACAGGTGTACCAGGCAGAGCAAAAGGCAGAATTCTTGTCCATGCAATACTGAACGAGAAATGCTTAGCGCCCATCGCAGCAACGCGCTCAATATCTTGCTTATAGTAGTAATAATGCTCGTTCGTGACATAATCCTTCACACGACCATCTTGAACGAGGATATCCATAAGAGATGGCGCCTTACCCTCTTCTGCAGTTGCACCCTCAATCTGACTCGCAGAGCTGGCTACTCCGAAGCTGAAGTTCTTGGGGAAATTGTAGCAATCCGAAGGACCAAAGTAGTCTCGTGGCGGAAGGACTAGCTCACTGCTCGGAATTGGAGTGGGAGATACAGTTGTGCTGAAAATTCCCGTCTCGGTGAAGTTGGGTGGGTTTGCATGTTCCCAGAGGGCAGTCCATGCGGCGTGTCCATAGGGATCATCTGTATCCGAGGCCTTTGTGGTGGCATTGGGATCCCATTTTCCCCAGGTTGTGAAGGACAGTGAAGACACGAGAGAGATGAGAGACTCTGGTGGATTGGCGTATGTAGCCGTTGTAGTAGGAGACGGTACCGAAGTAGCATATCTCACAGTCTCAGAGAGGGTATAACTAAACGGTGTATGTGTATATTTTGGCTCATGCGTCTTTGCAGCCTTGCATTGAGGACGCTCAGTAGGACCCTTTGCATCAAGATAGATCTGCTGGCCAACAGCCAGAGACGCAAAGAGGAATTGTATCACAGCATGTGAGGGTGTCATCATGACGGGCGATTGGGACACAGAACTGACGAGCAAAACAGCCCGCGCGATCTCACGATATATATGCTCATACTAACTACTTCCACAACATCATGATCCGTCCTTGCCGTGAAAACTCAGCATCTGCTCCGAACCGAAAGAACTGAAATTCCGCGTGTTAGTCGATCCCCAGACTTTTCGGACCGATTCAAACCTGTTCTTTATAAGAAATCGCGGGGAAGTTGTGGGGATGCAACGGTCATGCTCTCTCTTTACAAAGCCATGGATACTCCGATTTACACAGTAAATCGTATGTGCTCGCGGTACCGATTGCCACTTACAGACATTTCTGTCGTTTGTGGGGTTGAAGCGGTGACGGCATCGTGCTATTAGATTTCCCCGGACCAAGATTATGGTGCTGACCTTGTCGATCTTTGCGGGTTATGGCCCAGGGATCCGGTTTACCCCAGAGTTGTGGTCCAATGGAAGAATGGGATGGAAACCTAATGAGAGCCGATAGTGAGAGCCGTTTTTGTATTTCGCCGAAGTCGAGCGATTGACATGATATTTCGGGGTTTCGGGGTATCTCGAGAGGGAATGGTTAGGAAGCTAACCATGGGAAATCCGTGGGAAACCATACCAAAACTGTTAATCCCGCCCGTAATATCATTAATGGCGTACTGTTGAAGTATAACTTATTCATCTGGGAAAGAGATGAATCCACTATAGACTCTCCCTCACACTGTAGTCATTATCTTTCATTGTGGCTCTTAATCTCAGATGCAGCTTTATAGTGCGTGCTTTGCCATCATCTCGGCGCAACTGAGAAGGCAGCCTTAGGGAGCAAGAAAATATAAGACTCTAGAAGAGAATGTCAAAATAAACTCAATAAAGGCTCCTCTAAAATTAGACTAGATTGCCTAAATCTTTTTATCCCTTAGGATAAGTATATCTATAGGGCAGCGGGTTCCTCAGTTCATTATTCGCTGTGTATGAGCACTTACTTAGGCACATCATTTCTCGTGGCTCAACGGCGATACACCAACTCATTGATAAGATCTAAGAACTTTCAGGGTGCCACTGCAGAAGAGGGCAAGGCACCATCTCTTATGGATATCCTCGTTCAAGATGGTCGTGTGAAAGATTATCACGAATGAGCATTATTCCTATAGATATCGTTGCCATTATGGTAGTACCAGAATCTTGCCTGAGAATCTGTATTGACATTCCTGCAATCCCATCTCGATTGCCACAGTTTTGCCATATCTACTGTCCCAAATGACAGAACTAACTACCGTTCAAGATTATCGGTAAAAGGATGGACATTAGGAATGAACTATAAACTCCAAGAGTAGGGATACAACTGATCCATTAAGAGGCAGAGAAGTGTTTCGTGCACCGTACAAAGACCATATTGACCCCTTACCGTATGTGCTAATTCATTCCAACCGCTCAAGATCATCTGGCCAACACAAATGCTAGAGCAACGATGGTCAAGTGAGCATGTATAACTCCCGTTTACTCGACTGTCACTTGACGCTTCGAGGCTCACCAACCCTCCAAAAGACCGGACTTAACTGTCATGAAAAAGCGTCCAAGGTCTTGCCATCAGGTGTTCATCTCGAGGGGCGAGAAATTTGGGCATTGATGAGGCTGATATGTTGTTGATGATGACCAAGATCTAAGACAGAAGAGTTGGCGGCCGGTGTATCACCCATGACTTCCTAGCCTTTAGTCGCATGAGGACCAGACAAGATACCTACGATAGAACCGGGAGTCATCGACGACAGAACTTATCACCTTTGGGTCGCCGTTATCATCAACCCATTGTTGGCTCTCCGCGCAGACAAAGAATTGACCCTGTTTCAGTTTCTCTCTGACAATGCAGGTACCTTAGAATGAAGTTATTGATGTATCGTCCGTGAAAGGAAGTCTCTCGTCCATCAACTTCGTAGCTTGTGTGGATGAGGTGCTGGAAGCACCTAGAAAGAGAACGCTGCTTAGAGCCTCAGACATACAAGATGGTTGAAGGGGGAGCGGTTGGGTTGGGTTGGGTTACCAGTCTCGTATGATGTCCGCTTGAAGTGCTAGGAACTGTCCCTTCAATCTCTTCGTACCTTGGATACCCCTTTGTGAAGCCTCGAAGAGTTGCCGTGAGGAGTTGCCGTGAACACTTTCTCACCTTGCTGAACTCCATGTGAGTCACGACCACCCGGTAACACTCTTTCCAGACCCCTTAATCCTACTACAATGAGTTCTAAACCATATCCATGTTCTCTCACCTTCACTACCAAGAAATTCTCCTGAATCATCATTCTACTCAACCCGACTTTCGGCACTCACAGACTCTTCACAACTCCTCATTCGCCACTACACAACACATCATGATCTATCTTCCCTCAAAGCATAGACCACACAAGCATCAATCATATACCGTCCCCGATGCCAACTTACGATAAATTCTCTAGCGTTACAGCGGAATGCATGATCCGTGGATCTCCCCAGACGGCTATAACGTAATATTTCCCCAGGATCAACTGGGGCCCCGGATTTCAGCCCAAGTCTTGGCTTTTGAGGGGAATTGTAGCATCGTTACAGTCATTAGATTCCTTTTAATTTGGTGTGCAGTAGTGTTGAGGAGAACGCGCAAGTCCATTCACCTTGATATCTCTCGGTGTGGACAAGGATGTGCAGCTAGTTGACCTTCGCTTGGAGTTTTGAGACATATAAACTGGGCGGCAAGGTCAAAATGTTAGTCATAGTAAGGCATCTTTTGATGAGTTTAGTATAGCTTTTGTCTTAAGGTTTAGTTATTTGTTTGTTAACGTACGATAATCTTAACGAGGAGCAAGATCTGGCCTCTGAGTGCTGTGAGGCGACCCGCAGGGCGTTCAAGATTGACGATAACAACAAGGATGTTCGGATCCGATTTTTTTTAACGTTGAATGAGCGACTGTGGCACTGTCAATGATGCCAGCGTAAACATTCGCTCTGAATAAGGCTGTTGTTCAGCCACTTGTTGCCCGATTAGCAGAGTGCCTATCCTACGCCTTGCGAGCACTTGAGCAGGTGTCAAGTCCTTATCTATGCTTATAATAAACCTTCAATATGTACGTGCAGGATTCAGCCTAAGCTTGTCAGCTTTTGACAGAGCAAAGTGGGTGTGACTGAGCGCCCGAGGCTGGCTTCAGGTTCCGGATCGACAGTGCATCGAGGCGTACACCAAGGCATGATTTTTCATCACTTGTGTGATTAAAAAGTCACAAAATGTCTCAGCCTCTTCCGAAGCTGAATTTTCATGACACAAAAGTATGTAATTAGAGTGTTGGTCCTCGCCGAGCTAACTAGTCATGTCGATGCCGCCGAATGCCTTTCCCCAAATCATCAGCGCAGCATTCATCATCATCATCTGTGCTTATTATTTCATTCCCTGCCAAGCAAGACAAAAACCGTCTGGACCGTTCAGAAAAAGTGCGGAGAGAATCCCTGACGGCCACAATAGGAAAGTGATTCCCGCTGATGACGGGCTCTCCGCACTCTTGGCTGGGGGGTTCGAGTTGGGGTATTAGCTAATGATAAGGTAAAAGATATTGTTTTCCCTCATTTAAGCATGCAGTTTAGAGTTGTTTTTTCTTGGAGTTCTCGTCAGGTCTAACTAAAAACACTGACTAAAAGCCTGCTAAACTAACTTTTACTGGTATCTCTGGGTGCGGAGAATGGCAAGAATGGATGGAGCAAAATCTGTCTGTATCCGCTATCCCTGCCCCTGTACGAGATAAAGATCATCATGTGAACGTGATGGTATTATTCAAGGGGTGGACACCAAAAGTACCCACTGAGAGAACAAGCTGCTCAATCAGAGCTCGCAGTGGTCAGAGCCATCCCTGGCTATCTCTGTCCCTTGTCCTCATTGTGTTTTCCCCGCAGAGAAACAGACGGCAGATACTGGTAGATAAACATTGGAGCCAAGACCGCAGTAAGACCGGGGTGTGGTTTGGAGACAAGAAGAAGAGCCTATCTTTGAAGAGAAGAGCGAAGAGCACACGAGAACCTTATTGACCTTCCGTAAGGGGCGTGGCTTGGTTTGATAGCAGTGGATACAACAGGAATCTCATTAACAAGATCCTCACTGTGACACTCGCGCAGAATGGTACTAGGTAACTTACAGGCAGCAGCCATTGGAGATGTCGTACAGGACCAGGCCTCGGAGCAAAGTGCCTAAGCTTATCTCTTCCCGAGCTTCTAGAAACCACACTACACTCCAGTGAGCCTTGGCCTGCGCCCTTTTTTTCTCTTCCCTCTCTCACTTGCTTCTCCCTTTCAGCCTCGGCGCCATGATCAAGTGCCGGGCCGATCTTTGCTAGTAGGAGGCTGGCGTAACTATAGCGATGAGACAAAGTCAACGGCCCAAAAAAAGCCTGCAAATCTGCCCTGCGCCCGATTAACAGCATAGGCAATGAGTGATGTGAATTCTAGATTCTGTGCTGTGCTACAGAATTACAGTACAAATGCACAACTGAGGCGAGGCACACACCTACTCGCCACAATGTTACATGCAGAGAGATAGGATCTGACCCCATTGAGAGACAGAGAGAACGGTTGGACCGATGATCTCTGAATTAAAGCCAACACTAGCGAACTAAAGCACCCCCGGTTTACCAAGTTCCCACTTCATACACTGACAAACACCCCCGTTACGTGATTTGATCTTCACAGGACGGGCGTGCGTGTGTCTGACTCTGTCTGTCCGTCTAGGGTTCCATCGAGAGCATTACATGGGCTGCCACTTTGAGCATCGGGTCGTCTTGGCATTTTCTGTTCAAGTGATAAAATTTGATAGCAAAGCCTGGTCTGGGTTATTCGCGTGTGGTTGAATCAGAGTGAGAGTGAGACGTACGTATTTGGTATATAGCTGTGCTCATCCCTCTCCCTCTCATTCTTTCTTGTCCCGCCATCCTTTTTTCTTTTTCGTGCAACGTTGGGGAGAGAATCTAGCACACACAATATCGCCAAGGTCCTTG